CATTTGTACCTATGTATACAAGCTTCATGTGCTTATAGAACTGAGGGTGTATTTTTGGTGGCAATATTTTCTTGCTGTGCAGCTTAACTAAGTAACATAGAGTGGTGAAAACGAAGATACTTTATGAAAATATGTGTCACTGATTTTCTGTGTGATCTTAAGCAAGTCATTTAGCTATCTCATGCCTCATCTTCAAACTGGGTATTACTGGAAACCAGCTCTCACATGTGGACTAAATTTTTTCCCAGAAAATAAATTCTTTCTTCCATTTCTCCTCTCTCCAAATCCTGAAGTTCTGTAGGGCTTTATAAATAGGTTTTATATAATCCTTTGAGGTTAGCTCATTCTTACTTTAAAAGCACTATAACCTCACCTGATCTGTGGATATATTTGAAGCTTTGGATTGTCAAATTCTCAGTGACAGACTTTGTGGCATGCCTTGGGATGCAGGCATCAACAGTCAGTAAAAAAGCAAAGAGAGAAATACCTGGTAGAGGACAGTGGGGTCACTGCTTATATATAGGAAGAGTTACTGCAAAAATAGAGTGGTGTTTGGAGGTGGATAACCCTAGAGTATTTCAGGGCTATTGAAAGAGGTCTCTCTCTCTTTTTTTTTTTCCCCCCGGAGATGAAAGAAGATTACTAAATAAAGAATGTCTGATCCCTGTTAACTCCTAGCAGCCAGATCAAGAGTACTTGGAATCAGTTTGAGTGTCCTTCAGTGTGCAGTTTATTGCACAGACCCATTAATAGGTTTGTTTTTCCATTGTGTAATGTTGTATGGGGGTTGTAATATGGCAACAAATCTTCAGAGATTCATTATTTTTTTAACAGCTCTGAAAATTAGGTGCCCAGTATATATAACTATTAACGGCTATTTTTCACAAGTGTTGTGCAATAAAAAATAGCCACTGAATAATAAATAGACTTTGAGCACTTGATTCATATCTGAAAGCAGTTTTACAGAACTCTGATTTTTGTCAGGTCTTTAGTGTCTCTTGTTTGTTTTCTGTATCATTTCTTCTTAACATACGCAGTGGAGTATTTTGAAATGGAGATGGTTGAAATTGATATAACCTATAAAAATAGATGAATGGTGTTAAGCCTTTTGAATGTATTCATGTAGGCATGTATTCACAAGCTGCAGCAGTATTCCTTCACTCATCACATCTGTCTTTCATATAAACATGCTACCACGTGGCTGGATTCGGTAAACTGACACTCCCCCAGTGTCTTCTACTAACCATAAAGACGAGTCAAAACTTCATTCCAGTAGACCTGGTTTTCCTGGGCTTTCCTTCAGTTTCAGGAGCCTGTTGGTGTTTTACTTCTCTTAAGCTCTGGGCTATCAAACATTCCCCTCTCATCTACAGTTTCATGGTCCCTCCCAGCCCAGTCATTCTCTTTCTGTGGTCCCCTAAGCAATGGGGTGGGCTGCAGCAGAGGTAGTGCTGACGCTGCGGTTTTTGAGATAATGTGCGCGCTGTCTTCAGTCTCCAGATATTCAGAAGAAAATTTTGCGAATCTTTCTGATAGCAAGAAGGAAGGAACTTTGGGAATTCTGTTTTTAATTTCATGCCACAGGACCCATGTTGTCATTTAGCTTCCACTGTGCTGAGTGTAAACAAAACCAAAGGCTCCTTTAGCATTCCCTCTCAGCTTTACTGTGCTTGAGATGGAAGGGTAAGTGTGCTTGGCAAGGGCGACTGCATTACAGCTGTCTTTGACTTCTAATTTTTTGTTAATGGCAGCATGGTGGCTGAATGTGTAAAATACTGTGACACAATGGGGAAAATGGGATTTGATTTCTTTGAAATTTAAAAAAGTTCTGATTCTTTCCCTTTGAGAACATCCATCAGAAAATCAAATCAATTCTATTTTATATTTTTAAGACTTGGAAGGTTTTGACTCTGTAATACCAATTGCTGAGAAGCTTAATCATCCAACTACAACCAGACCAAAAGCTACTGGCAGGAGACCACCCTCCCAGTCTCTCACATCTGTAAGTTAATATTCCTTTTCTTCTACAAAGATTGTATTTTCTGATTTTTTTTTTCCTTCTACTGTCTGTGTTCCTTGGTACTTTCACTTACATTTACACAGCCGTTTCTTCACACGTACAGGGTGTCAGAGAAATGCAGCTCAGGAAAATCAATGTCAAAAGTCTGCCAGTATTTTGAATACTAATGTTTAAAACAGTCCTTTCCTTATAGGAGTTGGACCCCTCGTTTGGGTGCTGGCAGGTATTTCTTGCCAGTCATGACCAAGGCCAGAAAAATCCTTCATAAAAATCGTTGGAATAAACCAGTTTGTGCTAAGGATCAAGGATTTTGAAAGCATTTCCCAAAGGAAATCCCTTGTTTTCTCTAGGACACTTAAGAGATTTTTAGGACAAATAGACCATTGTCAGCCTTCAACACCTCTCATGAGCCTTCATGCATTTCTTTTCATTAAGCTCACTGGTGTAAATTTACGAGGGATTTAAATTTCACCCTCTAATAGGCATCTTAAGACAAGTTATGGCCTTATAAACCATTCTTTGGAAACCAACACTCAGTTTTTCAGTGCCTTTTCCTTTTGGATATGGGGTTTGCTTTCATGCTTTTTGCATTCTGGGGTAAGGGAATGAGAGTAACTACTCACATTTACCCGTGGTCATTTTGCTGAAAAAAACAAAGTGGAGGGAGGCTAAAAGCATTGTTGTGAAAAGCTTTCAAAATTGACTATGTAAATAAATGCAGTAACCTAAAAGGCAAGCTGAAAGTTTTTTTTCCCCGCTGTAAAATCTATGGGGAAAGAGAGAAAGGGTGGAAAGAACCTTCCCCCATTTGCAGTCATACAAAGTGGTGGTGCGTAAGGCAGCCCTGCAGTGCCCACAGTGTGCACAGGTAACAGCGCGAGTCCTCTGAAGGAGCCGCCCACGGAGCTGCCCAGGTGGCAGACCTGACATCCCCGCAGTGCGGTGTGCACTGTCCTAGCGAAATAAGGTAGAGCTCTTCTTGTGGACAGGATGGTGCTTTCATGTTATCATATAAGGCAATGCAAAAGTGTAACTTAACTAAGTATTTCACATTCCATGATTGCTCTGAAAGCATTCTAACCTGGAAAACATGACTTTTAAAAAAAAAAAAAAAAGTGTGGTAGTGTCCTAATTGTAAGTTTTGTTACACTTGAAAATAGTAACTTAGAAAAAAATGTTTCTATAAATGCTTTTCTTCTACCTGTGTTAAATTCTTGTACAATGAAATTATCTGCGTTTCTTCCCCCTCTCGGGGTGTGTGTGTTTGTGTTTGTCTACATAGTCCTCCCTTTCAAGCCCGGATTTCTTTGACTCACCAAGTCCTGAAGAAGAGAAGGAGGAACATGTTTCCATTACACAAAAAACTATTGAAGTGTCAAGGAAATCAAGAACGGTTACAATATCACAAGTAAGTTAACTGGAATGCTGTGTGCATTTTCCTTTTTAAGAATATTATTCAAATACGTATTTTTAAAATTTAATTCAAAAATCACCTTGGTAACTAGCCCTTTAAAGAAGCTTACAAAATATTAGGATAGTTCCATGTTTGAAATGCAAGACTAAGTGAATGGCACAGTTAACATGTCTCTACTACTATACTGTGAAAAAAATCCTTCTAGTTTTAAGTACGTTTATAGAATCAGAGAAGGTAGGGAAACAGATTTCAGAAGCAGCAGCCCTTTTTTGCAGCTGTAAATTGAGTTTACATTAGGAGAGTTTGCGAGTGGAGAAAATGCAACCCTTTGACCCGCTCTAAGTACATGTGAATTTAAATTTGCAAGTGTAAGCACCTTTTATACTGATAAAACTGTGTCCATCCTATGGGCTTGTGCCATTCTTACTGTATATTGATCTGATTAAATATTACAGGAAAAGATTGTAGATCAGGCTCTAGAGGTTGGAGTTCTTCTGTAGTACATGTTGATTTTCATAATACAGACCTTACACACTTACAGTATAACAGTTATTTGAAAGATGAAGGCATGCATGTCTGTGATCAAGTTGCAACGATAATATTTTGCTATATAGCTCCCTCTTCTGGGAGCACCTGAATTAATGAATACGCTAGGGCCCGCATTTGTAAATGATATGCTGGCGTGACAACTGTGTAGATGTGCCTGTAAAATGAGAATATTGCTGTCAGAAAGTAGCTACTTAAGGGTTTAATGTAAATGCCCATTTAAGCTCTGAAATAAGGTGTTCAATGTGGTTAAGTCCAGTTGTGCTTTGCTTACTTGCTTCAGGTTTGAAATTGGCCTAACATTTCTTTTCAGTCCAAAAGAAACCTATGTTTTGTAAAGGTTCGATATAAGGATTATTATCTATGAAAGGTCTGGTTATAGGTGCACATTACTCACCTATGCGCACACATACAAAATGTTAAAAGAATTAAATTAATGTCACAAAGTCAAGCATCCAAGCCACTGGAGAGACTTAATGCCATTTGTGATTTTATACTCATACTGTACCCTGGACAGTACAGTAAAGTTATAAAAGTCTTACATTTCTTATTACTATATTATCACTCTGAAGTCATGAGATTTATTTGTCTTTATGTGTCATACCAACAAGTGAACTTAAGGCATGTTTACCTCTTCTTGTAATACTAAGGGGAAAGCGTAATGCGTTTCTTATTTTTAAAACAATATTGGGTGTTGTAGAGGAATCCTTCAGTGGTTAGTTGGAAGTCATACATGTAATCTGCAAAAAATCCAGCTTAGAATCTGGGCACTACGGTTTTGTGCTCTGAAACACGCATCCGTGGGTGCTGGCATATTCTCACGAACTTCTGAGAGAAACACCGAGTATCCGTCGTTCAGAGTTCATTTCACTGTTGTGCCCCAGATCTTGGAAACACTTTTTCCTGGTTGGTTGTAACAAGTGTGGAAACTCCTCCTGAAACTATCTGATCTTATGGGTCCAGATTGAATCCCCTCTGCATATGTACAAAGATAATTTGACTGACTGTTGCATCTATCATGCTTTGGCCAATACTGTCTATGTATGAGTTTGGTCTTTCAGCATTACCACAAAGCAGTGACGTGCTTAGTATTTGTTAGGGATCTGATTTTCATAAAGCTTTCTCCACATATTAAAAGTGTTTCTTTTTGTTACAGGTATGTGAAAATAAAACTTCCTTGCCTCCAAAACCAGGAGGTTTGGCTAGTGGCAGTAATGTACAAGCATCACTATCTCCTTCACCATCACCTGGATTTCATTCAATTGCTATGGGAACAACAGGCCACAGGTCAAATTCTCCATCCCCGTTTGGTACTGAAGGAAAGCCAAAGACTGAGCCCTTGAGCCAAGGTCAGACTGCCCTGGAGGAGCTGAGAACACAAATTAAGGAGCTAAGAACCATTGTTGAAACAATGAAAGACCAGCAAAAGTAAGTACTGCAAGTCACATCTGTAGGTGGGATGCATTTGTTAAAATGTGATGTCAAAGTGCATCCCAGTTTCTTTCTTCTTGAATCTTCACATATGTTATTCTGCAAGGATTTTGCATTTGTATTTGTGAATAATTTTCTTCTACTGTTCTAACAAAAAGAACGTGTTTGGAGGTGAGAAGCTCCGGAAAAAAGTCTGGCGTTATTAATCTGTAACAGCTTTGTCATTCTGTTTTATGACATAAGTAGATGTCTGTGGGCTTTTGAAAAAGGTAAGTTTTAAACTGTAAGCAATTAATAAGGTTCTTCATAACTTTATATAATTTAATCAGTCAATAACTATTTGGGAGCTCATATACGTTGATCTAAATAAGGAGGTGCATTTGTACTAGTTAATAACATTCTTAAATCATTTGTTATTAGACTGTTAGTGCATTTGCCCAGAAAGCTTGTATTCCAAAAGAAGCAGTTGAATTGTCTCTAGGACAGTTGATGAGCTCTGTGTTTATCACTCTGAATCTTATGATTTTAGAGTTTAGTGTCTTTTCTTTAAGCTGCTGATTTCTCAGGAGAAACTGGGGCTGTCCCATAGTTTTTGCTATTCCTGAGAATATGTAATGTCTTGGAAATTAAACCTTCACTTACACTGTCTATTGTGTGTAGCCCAGGCAGGAAAAAGAAAGGGGAAAGCAGGATGCAGAGACTGTAGTGGAGCAGGGGTTTAGGGGGAGATAAACAGAGTTTTGGAGAAGACAGTGTAGGAGGGCCTTGTTCAAGGCGGAAGTGTCCAGAAAGCCCCGCAGCTTTGCCTCTTCAGGTGACTCCTCTTCGGAGCCTGTGTGGGTGGCTGCGGCCAACGTCCTGCAGCATTTCCGGCATGGTTTACTTCCACCTGCTGGGCTCTGTCTCGAGGGTCCGGTCAGTCAATGGGAATGTGAGGTTTCTGCTCTTACTTTTCCTTACAAAAGAGATGACAGCAAAACCATAATTAGGAGTCATTAAGTCTTACAAAGTTGTAGGTTATATTGTATTGTAGGGATAAGCAGCTTTTAAGTGGCTTAAATGCATGATAGCGTGGGCAGGGTTTGTGCTACTGGTTCCTATAACCCACCAACAGCCAATCCGTTTACATTTTGTATGGAAAAAGGTAACTGGGTACTGATATAATGTTGATACTGCTAGCCAAGAACAGAGCCTGTGGATGCAGGGTTCTTAGGAGGAAACTGATTATTCGTTAGCAGTGTTGCGGAGGGAGGTTGTCGTTTTATTCGTAGTATTACTTCTCTGTAGTATATTATGTAGTATACAAGAATATACTTAGTTTAATGACTAGTTCAGGGAGAAAAGATAGCTAGTCAAGTGTGGAAAACGTGTCTCCAAGAGGTGATCTTTCGTTGTTCACTAGTTTAAACTTTTGCGTTCCCAGCTTTTTTGCATTCTTTTAACAGAAAAGAAATTAAGCAGTTGCTGTCTGAGTTGGATGAAGAAAAGAAGATCCGTCTACGATTGCAGGTACTTAAATTATAATGTTATGGAAATACTTAGCCTTAGGTGTAGGATATACAACTCTGATAAGATGCTTACATTCCAGTGAATCAAAAGCTATTAACATTTCTAAAACTGAGTAAAAAAGCACTCAAAGTACAACACCCTTTGTAGCATTGCCAGTCTGTGTCCTGGGTTGCAGCACTGAGTTCCTACTGAAAAGCCTGTTAATTGTGTAAGAAGGTATCAGCACAAATAGGCAAATTCAAAAGTGAACACAATATAGGTTACAAAGTATGATACGTTTTTAGTCTCAATTTTAATTGTCTAATTTTGTCACAAGTGAAATCTTGCCTTTTTAAATGATTTGCTCTCTACTGAAGTTTTTTATTTTGTGTTAAGTCAGTCTTAGTGTTAGGGTACTTGGAATATGATTTCAGATAATAAGATTTTTGATGTCTGTTTTATGGATTGTACTCAAATTGTCTTTAATAAAGCATTATAAGCAATATAAAAGATGGAATTCTAATTAAAAGCCCAGTTACTGCTGCCATAATGTTGTATAGCACCTTAGCTCTAGAAGTTGGCATACTGATTTAATAGTTTGCCAGGTAGTGTACTGCCCTTTCTGTGTGAGATTAGTGGAACTAAGCCTCTAGTGGGATCATTGACAGTGCTGCTTCAATATGGAATAACTTTGAAACTGCTTTTCAGGATTTTGGAAAGTGATGTACTTCTTAAGTGTTTTCGTATTGATTATGTTTTATATTTTTAAGGTATAGGTCAAATGTGCTTTTTTTTTTTTTTTGGTACTAAGGATAGAAAATCGAATTGTAATTTCTCTAGGCCGTTCTTGCTGAGTAAAGTGCTTTGGCAGAACTGGGGACCTTCAATGAATGTTTGTTTGGCTGTTGAGCGTGTGTGCTCCAGTCCTGCATAAAGGACTTCGTGTATGCATCTGCGTAGTAGTATGGCTTCTGGTAACACACAATTCATATTCAGCTAACAGGAGATAAAATTGACCAACAATTTTAATAGCAGTTTTGCTTTAGTCCAACAGGCCAAACTATTCAGAGCCCTGGATTCTACCTCCAAGGATGGTTTTAAATCTTTATACAGAGACCTCCTGCACTGATAGTTTTAAGAATATGATCTTATAGCTGAATGCTGTTACTCTGGTTCATATCTTGCTTATGCCAGTAAATGGTCAGCTGCTAGCTAAGACGGCATAATCAGCTTTAAATTAGCATGAAGTTCAACAGCCACAAGTTGCATTAGTTTAACAGTGCTGGTAGTTATCAACTCAGCTCAGAGCAGCTCTTGGTTCCTGTATTTAAGAAAATTGTCTAGAAATGGTGCAGTTAAGCACTGAGGGCATTTGTGAGTGTATCTAATATCCCTGCCTCGGGGTTTCCAGCCTCTGTCAGAGGAGCCAAGTGTACAGTTGGAGGTGATGATAGCTATATCCACCTGCTTTTACCACACTGCTGTACATCCATCAGGGCCCTTAGGATGCCTGGATGCTGGCTTGAATGGTGTAGAGGTACCATCCCTATAGCAAGAACGGTCCCTGTAGCAAGAGAGGCACTAGGTTTTGCTCCTCCGCTGCTGATGTTCATTGTCGGTAGCTTCGTTTAGTTTTACCAGGTGTAACTGCAGCAGCCAGTGTAGGGACACAGTGCTCATTCTGCCTCTAATTCCTGGCAGCAAGCTGTGTATGTTGTAAAAGTTGTAATATAAAGAGTTTGAAGGGTCTTGTGGCACATCCCAATACTGATACTTGTCTAGCTTTGAAGGGCAGAAAGCCATGACTGGTCATCTTCTGCAGCTGAGGAGGTGTCTTCAATTTGTGAAGACTGTGGAAGTGAGAGTAGTATAAAAGCCTATACTCGACACCTGTGGCTAAGATGAAACATTTGCTTTTCAAGTGGTACCAACTGGGCCTCAGTTTGTGAAAACATCTAATCGCATCAAAAATAATCTTTTTCTTTTCAGATGGAAGTTAATGACATAAAGAAGGCTCTTCAATCAAAGTGAATACTTGATAGATGAAATGTTGCATTATTCATCATGACTGAGACTCAAATTTATGCCCCAGCCAAAATAACTTTGTGCCAAATGATTTAAGAATTGCCTCAACATCCCTTTATTTGAAGGATTAGCACAAGAGTTTTGATAGCACAACAAAAATACCAACAGCGAGGAAAAAATTTCCACACAAAGCAGTGCTGTGTGGCACTAGTTGTGACTGAAGTTGATCTTATTGTGCTAAAGGCTCTCTCTACTTCGAGATCATAGGTGAAATGAAAACTCAGGCAGTTTAGTCCATAGTGGTACTATTTTGATGATATTTTTCCATAAATAAAGTGTATTTCAGATTATCTGTTTACAAGCTTTATGATTTTGATTTTTGGTTTTTAATTGTCTTTTGTCACAGATTTTAAAATGTTTGTACTGCATATAGCCAGGAGTGAATGTTAACATTGGGGCTGGAGGGATTATTTTTGCTTCAAGATAGAACAGCCTACTTTTTGTTATGGTTTTAAGTTCTGTTAAATATGCAATTTTATGTCCCCAAACGCCCTACAAATAAACTTAAGTTGTGTACAATAATGTATTTACACAAGAAGAAAAGAAACAAACAACAAAAATATCTGATCTTTGCAATGATTTGTGCCTTTCTTTGCCACACACTGACTGGAGCTGGTTGCCAACCAGATTTCAGTAATGTAGCTCTTACAACAACTCCTGTCACGTATACCGGTAGAGGTCACTCTTCCAATGTACAGCTGCTCAGGCAGTATAGCCAGATTTGTGTTCAGGTGGCATAACAAACGGCGCAGTTGAGAGCAGCTTTGTCCTTATCAGCTGTGGCTTTTTAGCTTTCCTGTTTTTAATAGGCCTCTCCAATTTGAATGTTCATCTCCGCTTGATTTTCATTAGAAAAATTAAATGCCCGCCTCCGTCCCCAACTTTGCACAGAGTGAACAGAATATGCATTATTAAAGCAAAAATAAATAAAAGTAAATATAAAACATGAATAAAAAGTTGTATTATTTCATGCACAAGGTTCTCTTTATTGTGTGAATTGTTTCATTTGCTGTTTATGTGGTATCGTTTGCTACATTCTCTTGTAAGCTTTCTGTCCTTGAGAAAGAGAATGATACATTTTACAGTCCTGCTTTTGTAGCAGGATTTTTCCTAATTTTATTGAACCTGCTGCTTGCTTTATCTGTTCTCTTGAAGTTTATCTGTTTGCTTTCATCCTTTCAAAATAACTTCTTCCTTTTTTCTGTTAGTGGTTTCATAAGTTCTCTACTGGCAGCGGAGTAGCTCTAACCTTGTCGGCAGGGTCTATTGAGTTTGTACAAAGCATTTAAATATGGATATTTTTGCACAGTTTGTGGAGTGAGTGAGTGATATTGGTGATCCTTCAGAGTGATTAAAAAAAACACACACAAAGGATCTATTTATCTTCGCATGGAGTGCTAGAATTGCCTCCATCCAGGAGATCCTATGTCACAGCTAAGCATCCTGCCTGCCAGGAACTGGATGAGAGACTTGGTTTTTAGTTGGCTGGTCACATTCAGAAATGGGTTGGCAGAGTTCCCATAATCTTTTTGATACGGATAGATATATAAAATACATACTCCAGTGTACTCAGATATTGCTTTATGGGTCTCAACTGGCAATGCAGGACCTTACCGTTGAGATAATTTCCTCTACTCCAGCATGTGCTTCTATTGTAAAAAAGGTATCTGACAATGATAGTGAAACTTAAGTATTTTAATAGTAGTGTCACTTAGAATTTTAAAACTTAAGAATTTTAATTTAAGTCCCAATACATTGCTCAGTTTGCTCAAGCACTAATGAAATATTTTGTCACTGAAATGCTTTTATTTAAGGTTTCTAAATAACTGCATTAAGATATTTTTTATACCGAGAATGATTGTCCCATCATAGTTTTCCAGCAATAAAGATTTCTAGATTACTCCCATATCTTTTGTGAAACTGGTAGCAGAGTAAGGGAAGCAGGAGGAAATAGGAGATAATCAATAAAAATTCTGGTTTTTAGTGATCTATTTACAACAAGTTTCCAGAGATAAACAGCTCTCGCTTCCTAATTTGCACCCCTGGAAGATAATAAATTACTTTATCTGTGGTAAATAAAGTATTTATTGCTGAGTTGTACCTCAAAAATATAATGGGCATCTCAGAAATGTTCCATTTTTGCAAATGAAAGTGTGATTTTGGCATGGAGTTTCCTGATAGCAGATGACATCTGTTTTTTCCTCCTGTTGAGATGATAACTTGTCATTTTGTAAATCCGTACTTAGAAGTGCAACATACCATGCTTTGCAAAAGAAGATTAAATGAGATTTTATGAAAATGCTTTGTTTTGAAAGTTAATTATTCTGAGAGAAGAGAGTTCTTGGAAATACAAGTTTTTCTTCTTGCTGCATTTCATTATAATAATAGAAAGTATTTTACGTAGCACATGGTTTTCCCTTTTTAAAGATGAGTTATGCATTAAACTTATGGATATAAACTGCTGCTTTTAAAAATGTTTGTTTTTATATTTAAGAAAAAAATGCTGGCGAGCTACAAAGTGATTTTGACATAAAAATGATTAAATATTGTTGTTTGGAGAGTTGTGTAAAATGACTTTTCATTAATATGCACACACTGGTCTTGTAATGGATTTGTGTAATATTATGACTTACGTTTTCATGCAGAAGTTAGGTATGAAACATCAGGCTTATGCCTTTGGATGATAATACTATTCACATTCCTAATTTGGATAATTTGAAACATTTTTAGTTTAGATAATTAAGAAACCAGTTTTATGTTCTTCTTATAGGCAGTCATAGCTCGGTTGGTATGTTATAATTTAATTCATATACAATTTCATTCCTTAATATTTTGTATGTTTTGCTTACAATAATAAGGATTTATATAACCCAGTGAAAGAAAATCTGTATACCTCAAATGTTGAATTCATTCTAACATAAACCTCTTGCACTTACCAAAGCTTGAGTAAATTCTGACCGTTAAATCTAGTCAAATCTGTTACATTCTTCATTTTTTTGCTGCTGGTGAGAAGTAATTGAAAAACCCTCAGATCGATACTGAGAAGAAATAATAATCTTAAAAGTGAAAGGATCTCGTCTTTTTTAATGTGGGGTCACAGCACTTATCACTTCAAAAATAAGTATTCAATGGAAATAAGATGATAACCATTCACAGTGTGAACTAAGTTCTGTTAGTCAAGTTTCTTTTTTGGTTTGCCTTTTTTTTTTTTTTTTGATTTATGTTCCGTTTATACATGAGCAAAAGGGTTAGAGGCGTGTGTGGTTATGCTAAGAGCTCAACGGATCGAATATACCTATGGGCAGTATGTTCTCGTTTCTAGGCATATGATACCTCACTGCCCAGTAAATCTCATGGGCTGCTTTATCTCTGAAATCTTCGTGTGAGGTGTGGCATGCTCTGTGACAACGGGCATTAAAATCTGCACATGCCTAAGAGAGGTGAGAGAAGAAGAAACCCTCAGGTGTAGAACTCAGTGTAGAAATTCAGGTTGTTTTGCTCGTCAACTCGTGCAGTTGAGCCCACGCATGAGACGGTCCCCTCTGCCCCCCCCCGGAGCACCCTGGCCACCAGGCTGCCCAGAGGCCCTGGTGCTGCCAGCCTCTTGCTGTGGCCCCACTGCGCATGCCCCAGTGCCTGGAGCCCGCTTGGGCACAGGAACACGTCTGCGGGGCTTGCGTGCTGCAAAAATGTCTAGTAGTCCTGCAAAGTCCTCAGCTCTGTCACGCGCCAGTTGTCGCAGCGCTGGCAACGCTCTCGATCTTAGCCTCAGCGGCGTGCGCCGATGCCCTGGGTGGAAGCGGCCCCACCGAAGCGGCTCTGCCGGGCTGCCTCGTGGGGTGTCTGCAGCCCTTCTGGAGGGAGAAGCCTGGGGCTGGGAAAGGGACAGAAGTACACTGAGGAGGGAATTGTGGGAGCAGGCTAGACTAAAGCTGCCTTTCACACGGGCGCGCTGTGGTTCAAAAGGCAGACCGGGATACAGTTTAAAAGCAGAAACACCCAACCGCTCTACAACTTCAGTGCAGAGGGGACATTTTGGTCACCAGGGGGTAGCAATGCTGCTGGGAAACTGTGGTTCCTGTAGACGTTGGTGTTTGACAAGGTGAGGGTGCTCCAAGCGCAACTTCCACTCAGAGTAATCTTTCTGTTAAAAAGAGCAAGAGTGGGTGGAGAAGAAACTGCTAGTCTGCACAGCAGGTACTTGTACCCATGGTTATTAACACCCTTCAGCCAGAAACTGGATTTTGCTTGGCAGCTTTGGCCATTCAGCTGACTCTTGAGCTGGTCTAGGCATTGGCAGCTAGTTATACGTGCTTCTGCCCAGTCCTGGGCTTCCCTGGCTTCCTGCAGCGGCTTCCCTCTTTCTGTGCTCCAGCTCTTTCCGCCTCCACTCTCGCCTTTCTCTGGTTTTGCAAAATAACCAACTTGCTTAGTGAGCCCTGAAGGTGAGGAGCCACCGGCGCTTCCCAGCCTGGAGCAGGGCAGCTCAGGAAGCACAAAGCTTTGTTTTAATTTCAGCAGGCATCTGCAGCGCTGCGTGCCCGCCGCTTGGGTGATGGCCAGGCCTCAGCACGCCCCCCACCGCATGCTGCTGGCCAGCCAAGCTTAGTCGGGCAGACCCGCGCTCCTGACCTCTGTCCCCTCTGCTGCCAAAACAACGCTTTCTGCTCGGGTATGAAGGTTATTGGACCTGCTTCGCACACTGTCTTTAGCCCTTTGCTGAAACGATTTCAAAGCCTGTGCAGATACAAACTTTGCAGATACAGCTGCAGATACAGCTGCATTTCCCCTTTCAGTGCTCACACAGCAATGATCAGCCAGTGTGGGTTCTGGAGTGCAAATAGCTAAATAGCTTAATGCTCTTGTATGTTTTTTTTTTTAATTGTATTACAAATGTAATGGTATTTTTAAATGTGTTATACTCTACTGTAAGGTGAATCATTTATTTATAAGATGTAAGGTTATTTTGTTGAAATTGCTACCTGAAAGTGCTAGTTTAGTGTATTTTGCAAGTCAATTAACTGTAATTCCAGCCCAATCTCCAGGACCAAATCTTTTACCATGAGAATAATTTTTCTAATGCACTGTGAAGGTTAAGATAGGGAGGCAATGCTCCACCAGTCTCTGCCAGCCCTTCAGATATGATTTGTGATAAGTGTGTTTTGAACTCTCTTCCTTTTTTATGAAACAAAAAGCAACTGGAGCATGTAGCTGATAAGCAGTGGGAAACCTAATTGGCTCCTGTCAGTACAATCGTAAAAGTTGTAATGGGCTGTTTCTTTCAAATGAGAAAATGTAAAATTACTGTAACAACAAAGCAATTAGATAATCACCAAGTTTCACGAATAGCAGAACGTCAAAGAAGTATCTGCTTTCAAAACTTTGATGATACCATTTCACTTCAACATGCCCTCTGCACATAACTCTGTGCATAACTCTGCACTTTCAGTTATAGCCTCCTAAAAGGGAGGTCATATTCCTCAGTACAACCAGCTCTTCTCTGCATGAGTCATGCCAGCTGGTGAACAGTGGAACAGCTCACGCAAAAGGCCCTGGCAGACTGTTCCCCATGGCCTCAC